GATTTACAGCCTTGGAAACCCTGTACAGGGTCGCTATGGGTCGGGACCAACTAACAACATCAACCTAATAAGCAAACATTTCAAGCTAATCCAGCTACAGCATCTGTTTTTTAAACGTCTCTTTGAAAACAAAAATGGCTTAGCATGTGATTCAGACTCTATTACAATAGTTGATTTCAAAGGTCTCACTCAGGAGTCACCAGGCCTTACAATCTGGGTAAGAAGAGCCTGAGCCTCCGTGGACCTCCACCAACCCCCAACCCAGCAAAGGCTCATGGGGCGGCTTGCACTTCTCCAGAGAACATCACAACTTGGCGAGCTTTGACGGTCTGTGGAGGCACACAGCTGGCCCAGCTCAGTCACTGCAGTAAACAGCTTCTAGCCCAACTCCAGGTGACCTATACGAATATTACATGAAGGTGTACAATCCAGCTTCAAAACCCTACAAATGCAGAACTAGTGGATTAGTGTCTACAACTTCTGAACATGAGCCCTATGTATCCCTCCCAACAGTTAAGGACCATAATACCACGGTCCTTCCAGAAACCAACCTGAATGCTGTGGGCCCAGGTGGAGACAGTGAATCAGTCCACACTCACCCTAGTGGCCCAAAGGTTCTGAGACCTATGTTTACAGAATTTGTCATTTTGACAAGAAAAATCCAAACCAGGCTTTCTGATCACCGACAGCTCTAGAATAGTACAGACCAGCGGCTCCAGAACCTTCCTTATAATATGGAGCACCCAAGAAGAGGGAAGTCACGGTCACGAAGGACAAGGGACTGTGACACTGAACAGGTATTTGGAAACATTTCAAAGTTTACCACATTAGTTTAACACATACATTCCAACTGTCTAGCCCTGGTGTGGCACTACAGGATACGGTCAGGGATTCACAGCCAGCCATACCAGGGTATATCTTCCCCAGCATTCATCAATCCTCGGAAGCCCTATAAAGGGTCTCTCTGAGACAGCATGTCACAACCACCTGTAACTACAGAAAACAAATTCCTTCTGAGTTTATTCTGCATAACTAAGGACACAGAAAGCTACTTCTCTTGGTATTTTAACACTAACAATAAATACTTACTAAAATTAAATGCGTTACTACAGCATGTGAAGCCTACCTCAATAAAGCTGTCGTTAAATGAACAGTAACACTGAGAGATGGTGTGGTGGCAACTCTCTCCTGCATGTTCCTGGGCACATGAATTCCAATGGTACCATCCTGGAAGAGGGCACCCATGCCACATTCCAGTGCCCTGACACAGCCCTCCACAGACCTGCTGACAGGAGATGAGAAGGGCCAACACCTCCATGTCGCCCAGGAATCTTTTCCTCCCCTACCACACCACCATTGAGTCTACGCTGACTCTTGACAACGCCATCTGTGTTGGAGTACAACTGTGTCTACAGAGCAAATGAGTTTCCCATTCAGGGATGTCTACACATTTTGCTTTCTGACATTAGCTGCAATGGCTAGACCTTTTCTCTGAGGTGCCACTGGGGGGACCTGAAGCCCCAGCTTTCTATTTAGCAGCTGCACAAGCTCCTTCACCAGATGCCACACCAGGGTATATCTTCCCCAGCATTCATCAGTATAAAAATACATTCGTAAAAAAATTCTTTGCTGGTTCCCGGAATGTAGGAGGTGGAGTGAGGGGTGGGAGGGGAAGGTGGAGCACAGGGGAGAGAACAGACGCAGGAGAATCTGGGTGCTGAGGAGGGGGGCAGTACACAAGAAGGGGGAAGGAAATGGAAGAACAAGGCAGACTGGAGAACAGTTAGGCAGGTTTGCACGGGCTAAGTGGGACAGAGATAAATAATGATGGATGCACACCCTTGGAAAAATAGAACTCTGGGATACAGGGATTGAGGCATGGTTTGAATGGGCAAAAGGGGGGAAATAATGTTAAGAAGCTTGGCTGTCTTTTGAATATGGTTTCCCTTGCATCCCATTATAAAATAGACACTTGAGCAGGAGAGAAAGGAATAGCCAGAAATATCACCATAGAAAGCTTGTAGGCCTGTCTTAACTGATTGGAATACCTAAAATAGGGCTACAACGTGCCCAGTGAAGGAGGCTTCCTGCAGAGCCTTTGCATTTGCATGAGATCATAGGTGGAATCCTGAACCCCATCCAGAAATCTTCTGAGATGGGAAATCTCCACTTGAAAGAACCAGTAGACCAGCCTGGAGCGGCTAGAAGAACAGAAGATACTTCTTGAAAGAAAAACCAACAGGAAAAATACAAAACAATTAACAGTAGTCCAACTGACTACTACAAGAACAAGGAAGTTGCTAGCCCAGGAAACACCAAGGCAAGTGGTCGGGTCCCCTCAGGCCAAACCCCCTTCCCAGACTAAGACTCAGTGGGAATACACGCTCTGATTGGTGACCACGTTCATCACCGATAAGGGGAAGGGAGGGAAAAACAGCAATGAAGTTATGAGTTAAGTCCAACCAAATTCAATAGACGCCTGTGAACGCAGGTGGAGATCTGGTGGGCCAGCAGTGTGGCAAGACCTGGGCACTTCTGGGCCGAGAGTCAGTGACATGGCCACAAAGGACTAGAGTGGAGAGTGATGTGTCCAGCTGAGAAGAAGAGAGGGTATATGCACAAGAACACCCACACTTGCAGATAATACCCACTTGACCTGGCTTCAATGACTGGATGATTAGAGCTCAACCAGAAGAAAGAAGAAAGAGGAAAAACAGAGTAATCTGATACAATTTGATGAATTTGACCTACAACTCTGGATGCAGTAGCTCCAAAGAGGGAACAAATCTTTACAGCGAGGATCATTCCAACTCCATCCATACACAGAGTAGACAAGGATGGGCAACTTGGACATTGGCTACCCAAACTGGGGTGGGGGTGGGGGTGGGGGGGAAGGCCTACAAAGGCAAGAAGTGACTGGCTTACAAGCTTTCAAGAGGGAGCCTAGATCCAGATGGCACGGAGGAAGGTAGACTCTCCACTGAGTAGTATCCAATCTGTCTAGGCAGGGCTGATGAATGGAGATAGGGATATCACTCATGTGGTACAACAGCGAATAATTACTATCAGGACTGACTACGAGGGTTAGAAATGTAAAGGTAGATGTGTAGCCAAAGGAGGGGAGTGGTTGACTTTACAGTCCAGGAGCAGAGGTCCCTGGGACCATCAAGGGAGAAGATCAAAGAGTGGGACCCACCCAAAGAAGCAGCGACACCAGAGATGATGACACCGAGAGATGGAGCAGCTGAGAACTCTAGACTCATGGAGGAAGAGTGGATGTGTGCTGGCAGCTGAGGGAGCAGGCTTGCACAGGGTGTGACCTTTGGCTGTTTGAAAGACTGTATATTCATTCCTGAGTGTTTTGGTGCACATCCAAAAAAACCAACAAAAACAGAGGGAAGAGAAGCAAATATTGTTGCATGAGGAAGTATGCAGGAGAGGGAATTGTAATCATTGCAATGAAACAAATATGACAGGATGAGTCTAAAACTGATGTTCCCCCATGTAAACTATCACTCAATTCACAACAAAAAATTAAAAAAAAAAAAAAAAAACTAGTCTGATAATACCATGAATCAATGACCATACTGTGTTTAAGTGCCATCGAGTCGGTTCCGACCCATAGCAACCCTGTATAGGGTTTCCAAGGAGCAGCTGGTAAACTTGAACTGCCAACCTTGCAGTTCAAACGGCTTTGCAGTCTGGCGCATTAACCTACAGCGCCACACCAGGACTCCAATGACTATATATACACGGCTTTTATAGGCAGTTGTTGTCGTTAAGTGCTATTGAGCAGTTCCAACCCATAGCGACCCTGTATAGGATTTCCGAGGAGCAGCTGGGTGAGCCTAAACTACCGACCTAGCAGAGTTCAAACTGTCGAGCACATTAACCTAGAGCGCCACACCAAGACTCAATTGTTGGTGTTGTAATGTGCCGCAGAGTCAGTTCCGACTCATAGTGACTCTGTACGGGGTTTCCAAGGCTGTAAATCGTTAAGGAAGCAGAACACCTCATCTTTCTCCCTAGGAGCAGCTGGTAGTTTCGAACTGCTGGCCCTGAGGTTCGCAGCCCGATTGGTACCCACTATGCTGGCAGAGCTCCTTAGAAGGACACAAAACCCAAACCCTAAGCTGCTGCTGTCTAGTCAGTGCTGCCGCGCAGTGCCTGTTCAGGGACAGAAGAGAACTGGCTTTCATCTCCACGGAAGTCGACTTGCACATGGTGCTAAATCTGAACTGCTAACCTTTCAGATAGCAGCCACTCCTGTAACCACCGTGCCGCTGGGGTCCTGTAACCTGACAAAGCCACTTTGAAGACAATACAGCCTTGCAGAAGACGAACGTGTGCATCCCTATCAGCCAGCAATTCTTCTCAGGGACCCTAGATCAGCTCCAGCACATCTGCACCCAGAAACCAGTCAGGAATAGTCATCATACTGTTCAAACAGCAAAAAGCTAGAATCCGAGTCCAAATGTCCACAAAGAAAGAATCGAGACTTCCCAGACTATTGAAAAGGGTGGTAAAAATCAAGGATCACCAACCCTCCACTGCCATCAGGTTGGTTCCGAGTTACAGCAACCTTGTAAGAGGAAGTAGAACTGCCCCACAGGGTTCCCAGGCTGTTCACCTATCACAACTTTCAGCCTAACCCACCACTTCTCAACCAGGGCTCGCAAAACAAACTCTAATCTAAAACATGGGGACTCTGAAACACAGCAAGGTGTTAAAACTAGCTAGCTACATTATGAAACCATTTTGGTAAAGCTTGGAAACAAGAAAAACCTTGTTCAAGGAATCAGACAAGTATTTTAAAAAGGGAACTGAGGAAAACAGCTCAGGAGAGTGATGGGGTGGTAGAAACACAGGTGGCTGTGCTCAAGCTCCTGACTGGAATGGCAGGAAATCGGTGTCGGTTTTGAAACTGCTTCGTAACTTACATATACTACGTCACTCTTATTAGGCCAATGTATGGCTCTTCAAGGCAAAATGAAACTTACATCCAATTCGAAAAACAGGTCTCTTTCTTTACTTGCAATTTCATAATCTGCTCGGAGGGCCAAGTCGTGGATTTTGGTACATTCTCCTAAATCCATGCGCTGTAGGAAAGAAACAGAAAATTACACACCAACACCTACCCACTGTAGAAAGCACATGATATGACTTGGAATTCAAGTGTCACTAAAATAAGTAAAACTTCTCTGAATACGTACGAAAACTGAGAAAGAAAACAAGGCTGAACAGCTGTATTTCCATTTTACACCATGATTATAAAATACCTGAAATGAGTACATGTAACAACAGTGCAAAGAGGGCGTGTTTCTCTCACTGTTGTTGGTGGTGTTGCTAAGTGTCATCAAGTCGATTCCGACTCACAGCAACTGTGTATAGGGTTTTCAAGGAGAAGCTGGTGGGTTTGAACCACCAACCTTGACCACAAGTGCACTACACAGTCCCTATTTCCTTCTAGGACCAGAAATAACTGGACCACAATAATGAAAGCCACCATTAATTGACCTGCTCGTCAGTTTTAGTTTTGCATCAATTAGGTAAGAAGATCTAAACATTCCCAGCGCACGAAGAAATGATGAAAGAACAGATCACCAATGCCACCAACAAAAACTTAATAATTACTAGCGATGGCTGCTGCCCAAGGTACAGAGTCAAACCCAGGACAACAGAAGAGTAGACAGAGATCCTGGTTTGGCAATTACAAAACCATGTGATCCTTGGCTTTGTGCGATTCTCTGTAAATGGAGGGAATAAAGTAGAGTCACACCAGAGGATCAGCAACTCTGGCCACAGATGGCTCCATTTATCAGTTACAAAACTCTTGTACTAAACAGAACAATCTGATGGAAACAACCAAAGTGCCCATCAACAGATGATAAAATGTGGTCCCTGTGTACCAGGGACTGTTATTACTACGTCATGTAGAGAAACAGACAGTCCAACATGTGGATGAACCTGGAACACATCATTCTGAGTGAAGTGAGCCAGATACAAAAGGACACAGATGACGTAATCCCACTTACAGCAAGTATCTAGAATAGACAAATGTACCGGAGCAGTTTACTAGTGCTTTCCAGGGACCGAGGTAGGAGGAAGTAGCTGAGTCTCTGTTGAGGGTGATGAAAAACATTTGGAAATAATGTCAATGGCTGCACAGCATGGTAAGTATGATATTAACGTCACTGAATTGTACATTTTAAAAATGGTTAAAATAACAAGTACTTCACCACAATAAAATTAAAGCGCACACAAAAAGTGATCTGCAATATCAGAAAGGTACTAGTGTGAAGTCCTATTACATGTTCTAGTGCTATGTGGAATAGAGGAATATAGGGGTCTGGAGGCTTCTCCCACCTTTGGCCCGCTGTATGCCGATGCTCAGAATAACGGGTCACAGAGCAAACGGTAGCCAAACCCAAATTCCAACCAAGAGACACGCCCAAAGTTCAAGTCATCAGACAAAAGCACAAGTCAATGTTGTTGTTGTTAACTGCTGCTGAGTCGGGTTTCGTAGCTGGTTGAGTTTGAACCACCGACCTTGCAGTTCAAACCAACCCTGGGGTCCAGTGTTCATTGTACAGCGCCACAACCAGGACTCATGTCTATATAATCAGCAAAAAAATAAGGTTTAAGGAACTCTTTTAACTTCAAAATGTGTTTATGTTCAAAATCTATTTCAACCACTTCACATCAAATCCGACTCACGCTGCTGAGTTCCTGGGTCCCAGACTCCCAGACATCATTCTAAAGTAAAGGCAGGTTAAGTGTTGTTAAATGCCATGGAGTTGGCTGCGACTCAGAAAACACTATAAAGGGTTTCTGAGTCTGTAAATCTTCGTGGGAGCAGAAAGCCTCCTTTCTCCAGCAGAATGGCTGGGGGTGCCCAGTGCAGTGCTGATCCTACAGTACCATCAGGCAACCTCAGTGTAGCTCACGGACACTGATCACATAGGACACCAAGAAAATGGACAACAGTGGTTTCACCCAAGGTGCAGCCGTGACTGTCACCCGTGTGAAGCTGACAGTGTTCATGACATCAACCTGTTAAGTCCCTGGTTCTGTTCTTTAAATAGATCTCACAGATGACCCCAAGCGCTCTAGCGGAAAAGCGAAGAGTAGCTGCCAGAAGACATGCTTAAAAACGAATGAAAGCCGATCCGATACTAGAAACGGGCTATTCACTTCCTCTCTAAAAACTCCAGCTATTGTTAGTGTTTGTGGTGTTAAGGACCATCAAGTCAGTTCTGACTCATACTGACCCTGTGGAGCACGGGTGGGAACAATCATTTGGTCTGGTCCTGCCAAGACAACCGCAGTTCCAGTCATCATGTTGTTGTTGTTCAGTGCCATCAAGTCAGTTCCAACCCACAAGAACTCTGTACAGGGTTTCTGAGGAGCAGCCAGCTGGGGAGCTTGAATCGCCTACCGTGTGATTCAAACCAACTGTGCAGTCTAGATCATTAACCCGCAGTGCCACATGAAGACTCCATGTCATTACATTGTTGTCATGTGCCGTGGAGACAGTTCCAACTCCTAGCGACCCTGTACAGGGTCCGAGGCTGTAAATCTTTACGGGAGCAGAAAGCCTCATCTTTCTCCCATGGAATAGCTGATAGTTTAGAACTGCTGACCTTGCAGTTCGCAGCCCAATTCGTAACCACTACGCTATTAGGGGTGAGTTAATTAAATGTTTGACTGAATATAGCAGGCTAACTTTTCAAGTTGACAATTTTATATGGCCCATGACTATTATCTACCACTCATCTGTCAGTCTGTCGTACTGTGGTGGCCTGTGAATTGGTGTAATTCTGGAAGCTATGCCACGGGTATTTTAAGTACCAGCGGAGTCACCCACGGTGGGCAGGTTGCAGATGAGTTTCCAGACAATGACGGACTAGGAAGAAGGAGAGACGAACCACTTCCAAATATTTAGTCACTGAAAACCTTATGAATAACAGAGAAACACTGTCAGCTATGGTGCCGGAAAATGAGCCCCTCAGGTTGGAAGGCACTCAAAATGCCACTGGGGAAGAGCTGCCTCCTCAAAGGAGAGTTGACAGTGATGACTGACGTGAATGGAGTAAAGCCCGTGGGACCTTCATTTGCTGATGGGGAACAACTCAAAATGAAAAGAAACAGCTGTAAACATCCATTAATAATCGGAACATCTAAGGCATTAGTAAATGGAAGTGGACTGGTATTGGCCATTCTGAATCTGACAACAAGGTTAACTATGCCAGGAACGACAAACTGAAGAGGAATGGCGTTGCATTCATTATCAATAAGAACATATCAAGATTAGTCATGAGGTACAACGCTGTCTGTGATAAGAAAATATCCATGCGCCTACAGGGAAGACTAGTTCATATCACTATTATTCAAATTTACGCACCAATCACACCAGTGAGGATGAAATAGATGAATTCTATCAACTTCTTCAATCTGAAATCGATCAAACATACAATCAATATGTATTGATCATTACTGGTGATTGGAATACAAAGGTTGGAAACAAAGAGGAAGGATCAGTAGTTGGAAAATATGGCCTTGATAAAAAATGATGCTGGAGATTGCATGACAGAACTCTGCAAAACCAATGATTTGTTCATTTCAAATACCTTCTTTAAACAGCATAAGAGACGATGATGCACATGGATCTCACCAGCTAGAATACACAGAAATCAAACTGACTACATCTGTGGAAAGAGACGGAAAAGCTCCGTATCATCAGCTAAAACAAGGCCAGGGGCAGACTGTGGAACAGACCATCAATTGCTCATATGCAAACTCAACTGAAGCTCAAGAAAATGAATACAAGTCCATAAGAGTCAAAATATGACCTTGAATGTACCCCACCTAAATCTAGAGATCATCTGAAGAACAGATTTGATACATTAAACACTAAAGACTGAAGACCAGAGGAGCTACGGGATGACATCAAGAACATCATACAGGATGAAAGCAACAGGTCATTAAGAAAACAAGAAAGAAGGAAAAGATCAAAATGAATGTCAGAAGAGACACTGATTCGCCCGGGAACCATCAAGGCAAGTGGTAGGGTCTCCTCAGAGCAAACCCCCTTCCAAAACTAAGACTCAAGGGGCATACACGAGCAGGTATGTGGTCCGGCAGGTGACCACGTTGGTCACCAATAAAGGGAAGTGGGGGAGAAACAGCAATAAAGTTGTGAGCTAAGTCTGACCACATTTGATAGACTCCTGTGAACCCGGGTGGAGACACCTGATTGGCCAGCAGTATGGCGAGACCTGGGGACTCATGGGCTGAGAGACAATGACATGGCCACAGAGGACTAGAGTGGAGAGTGAAACCTCTAGCTGTATGAAGTGAGGGGTGATACATAAGAACAACCATACTTGCAGATAATACCCACTTGACCTGGCTTCAATGGCTAGATGATCAGAACTCAACTAGAAAAAGAAAGAAGAGGAAAAAAAGAGTAATCTGATACAATTTGATGAAATTGACCTATACTTTTAGAAGCAGTAGCTCAAAAGAGGGAACAGATCTTTATAGCGAGAATCATTCCCACCCCCTCAGTACATAGGATTGACAGAGATGGGCAACTTAAGACATTGGCTACCCAAAAGGGGGGGGGGGGGGGAAGGGGGAGCATACAAAGGCAAGAAGTGACTGGTTTACAAGCGGGAGTCTAGTTCCAGAAGGCACGGAGGAAGGCAGAATCTCCACTGAATGGTTTCCAAGCTGCCTGGACAGGGCTGATGAAAGGAGATGGGGTAAGACTCTTGCAGTACAAGAGTGAATAATTGCTATCAGGACTGACTTGTGAGGGTTGGAAACGTAAAGGTAGACATTCTGTAACAAAAGGAGGGAAGTGGTTGATTTTGCAGTCCAGGAGTGGAGGTCCCTGGGACCATCTAGGGAGAAGAAGATCAAAGACTTCGGTATGGACTGCATCTCAATGCAAATAAAACCAATAAACAACGTTCTCATCAATGGAGAAAAGACTGAAGATTGAAGACAATGACCTCATCGTTCTTGGCTCCACCATCAACACTCACGGAAGCAGCAGTCAAGAAATCAAACAATGTAGTGCATTAGGCAAATCTGCTGCACAAGACCTTTTTAAAGTGTTGAAGAGCAAAGATGTCAGCTTGAGGACTACAGTGCACCTAACCCAAGCCATGGTTTTTCAATAACCTCACATGCATGCACATTTGAGTTATAATGTTGCAGATTATTAAAAGTACCACGGGCTGCTAAAAGAACAAACAGATCTGTGTTGGAAGAAGTACAGCCAGAGTGCTCCTTGGAGGCCAGGATGGCCAAACTTTGTCTCTCATACTTCGGCCATATTGTCAGGAAGGACCAGTCTCTGGAGAAGGAGATCGTATTTGGTAAGGTGCAGGGTCAGAGGACACAAGGAAAATCCCCGAGAGATGGACTGGCAAAGTGGCAGCAATTGTGAGGCTGGTCCAGGACCAGGCAGTGTTGAGTTCTGCTGTGCACAGAGTCGCTATGAGTCGGTACTGACGCGTTGGCACCGAACAACCACTGTTGTAAATTTTGGCAGAAAAAAGGTTCCCCACTGTTACTGTAGAGGGTTTCTGAGAATCAGTTGATGGGTTTGAACTGTCAACCTTGTGGTTCACACACAGTTCAGTGCTTACCCCACAGCACCACCCCAGGAATCCAATGTTGATATCGTTGGTGGTGCAATTCCAACTGACCTTGCAGTCTAGCGCGCCCACAGCGCCAGGAAACGATCTAAGACGTAAAATTCTCTGCTGTCCTCCTTGACAGGAAACCTCTTCACAAGCACCCCTTCACTATACAGCAGCTAGAGAACAAGTCTGGGTCCATGATTACTTTCAGCTCTGCCAAATCCACAGGGAGATTATGGCCAGTCCTAATATGGAGCAAAGCTAAACTACAACACTTAGATCAGAGAATGACATTACCCTCTGATGATCTGATACCATGGACAGAAAAAGGCACTAAAGACGCATGACTTCCAGCTCTCCTTGCTCATCACTTACTCAGGAGAGATGATTTACTATGATTCCACTATTAATAGAGAAGGAGTTTTACAAAGATCACCCACCACCACTTTAAGATTTCTTACATTCTACGGAGTCCTGGCATGGTGCCATAGGATAAGCACTGAACTGCCACTCCTCAGAAACCCTACATGGGTTGCTATGAGTTGGAACGGACTAGATGGCACTTTAACAACAACCACCACTTCATAGACTAGACATACGATCCACTCATTTTAAGGTTTAAATGCACTGTTTTCTTGACATTTGTTGTTGTTGTTGTCAGGTGCCATCGAGTCGGAACCAACTCATAGCGACCCCATGCACAGCAGAACGAAACAATGTCCGATCCTGGGCCAACCTCACTACCGCTGCCACACTTGAGTCCATCAATGATGCCACCTGGCTGATCCATCTCGTTGGGGGTCTTCCTCTTTTTCTCTGACCCTCCACCCTACCCAGCATGACATCCTTCTCCAACGATTTTTCTTGAAATAGGGACCTAAATAAAACTACAAAATCAGTGCCATCCCCAAGTGTTTTTTAAAAACCTGAAACCTTGGGAGAAAATGCACTTTGCTAGATCAAAAGTCTAATGTCCATTTAACCTAAAAAACAAAGAATCAGAGGTTGACCCGAAGCAATTTGCTTGCTAAGGACAAAGCAAAAGTACTTCCAGCTGTGACTCCCCCAATAAAGATGGCTTTACAAAAAACCTGACAACTTCAGACAGAATTTGGTATCAGACAGACTGGTGAGGCGCTATAGGACAAGCAATGGGCTGCTAACCACAAGGACGATACTTCAAACCCACCAGTCGCTCCTGGGAAACCCCATACAGGATCACTATGAGTTGGAACTGACTCGTCCACACAGAACAAACATAAAATGTCACCACATGACTGTAACCTTTCATTTGAGGAGTAACAGGTTACTTCTGTCTCTTGAAGGAAAACAGAATTCAAGCTGAAAAACCTTCACTGCCCACACAGCATCCATGTCTGAGCATTCACAGATCCCCAAAATGCACCTACCGTCCCAGCCAAGATGTCATGAGGGCAGCAGTCCAGAAGGTGACTCTTGCAGACACGGTCATCTGTAAACTTGACCCTCTGTCTGGTTTCATCTCCTGAAATTCATGTGCGGTTTTAAATAAGACAATATTACCACAGTAACACAAAGGATATCTGGTACAAAACTTCACCGGGATTTGCAGACTACCATTCCTCTGTTCTCCCTAATAGACCCTGAAAAACTTAACTAAAGACATGGACAAGTGCAAAAGAATCCATATTTTTCTGATACTGAGCATATCATGAAGAAATAGACTTAATGAGATCTGACTCCATCATTGTGCAAAGGAATTCAGAGAGTCAGAAGTACAAGGCTAACAAGCACAAAAAGGCCATTAATCCCACATATACATGTGGGGGGGGGGAATGATATCAAAACCCATGTTAATCGGAGGGCCACGAATCACCACATATGCCTTACAGCTAGTATTTTCTACCAACACAAGCTTTTTATTAATCTCATCTTTTTAACGGACAATTGCATAGAAGTGTTTTGCCCAGAACTACATGAAGAAAGCTTCCGAAGTTCACCTGTTAAATTATCTATACCTACTCTTCCTATCCCCATTTTGCCCCCACCTTAAAAAAAGAAGAATTGGCACCTGGGAGTCACTTCTATCAAGACAATAAAAAAATAAAAAAAGGGGGGAGGGTGGGGAGCAGAAAGGAACTAGGTCAGTTAATACACACTGTGAGTTCCAACACATACTGTACCCATCTGCATTCTTCAAGACCTCAGCTGCAGAATTTTATGCCCGCTGTTGAAAAGTTTTAAAGGAAAAGTTTTCTTGCCCACACCTGCAGTAAGGAAGTCAGGGGAATGATACATAAAAGTAAAGGCAAAGTGGTTCGTGACAAATTCTAAAGCTAACCTCTGTATATGACACAGAGCTGTGTAACACTAAAGGAGGAAGAGATTTTAGGGTTTGCAAGCATCCAGGATTAATGTAGTGTCTTTTTTATTGAAAATGTTTTCTTTCTAAACTACACTTTTAAAGTTACTTGTGAAAAAAAGCAAACACTTTTTTGTTATAACAGCTTAGAAATTGGTTGTGACTCACGGCTCGATGAACATGAGGCTTTTCTGCAACTCCCTTGCAGATTGATGTAGGCAGGCAAAGATACACTGAACCTTTATAAATAAAATAGAGGGGCCACAATTGTTCAGTTTGTATGAAATAAAAATATGGGAAGCAATTCAAAAGCAACTCAATATACAAAGAAAGCTAAAAAGCACTTATTCACCTATGAAAATAAAGTGCAAAAAGTCTGCACATCCCTGCAATGAGCCAGTGTGATCTTAAAACTTCATTACTTCCGTCGAAAAAGGAAACACCACAGAGGTATAGCAAGCGCTGTCTCCTGAGACCACCTTTCCTCCCTACGGTGCAACCTACCTAACAACGGCCAATCGCTGGCTACAGAGGTTGTCCTGGGGGGCTGGGGGGGGGCGGGGAAGGACTCTGCTGGGACCCACGTGAGACAAGCTCCAGGTACCACTCCCCTTGCAAAGGTACACAGAACGGTGCAGCGTCCCGAAGCCCATCCGGCTCCCTCGGGTACGAAGTACTCCGCCACCTGGCTGCCGGCGAACCGGAGCCTGCGCGGGCTCCCCTGGGTCACAGAGGAGCCACGGCGCCGGCCGAGGAAGTCGCGGAATGGTAGGTAGGGAATGGGCTGCAGCCCCGCCAAAGGCTCGGGCTCCGAAGGAGGAGCCCGGCCCGGAAAGGAAGCCGGCCGCAGCAGCGGCCGCCTCCGAGGCGCAAACAAAGGACCGGCGCCTGTGCTGGGCGCGCGGGGAGGGGAGCGACGCCGGCGCAAGCGCAGACGCAGACGCTCGGCGGCCCCAACCTCCGGCCGCCCGGCGGCCTCGCTTCGCTCCCACCCGAAGTCCCTCGCCTGGCCGGCCTTCCGGACTCACCGTCCCGAGCCGTGCCCATGAGCTGGTCCAGCAGTGCTCGCATCTGCGCCTGGGCGGACATGGTGGCCGGCGTGGACGGCGGAGGCTGCCGCAACAGCTTTTCAGGGCGGCGGCAGCGGTAACGACGTGAGCTGGTCGCGTCCGCCTCGAGTCGGCTAGATTCCTTCCCGCCGTGAGGGACGTCGGGAGGAAGTACGCGGGACCGACGCGGGGTCTTCTGGGAAATGAAGTTTATTCAGGTGAATGGGTGGTTCCCTTAATAGGGTTTCCGCTTAAGCCTTTGTGGAGTATGGTGCCTTTGATGAAATCCTGAGCCCCACCCAGAACCCTCAGAAGTGGGCCATTCCCAATTGAAAAAACGTGCAGACCAACCTGGAATGACTAGAGGAAGAGAAGCTACTTCTTGAAAGAAATGGTGTGGGGCATTGGGGGCGGCGGGGAGGCATATCAAGCAAGCTGTTTGCCTTAGACCCATCAAGGCATATGAAAAGTTAGCCCATCAGGGTAAGCCCCTTTCTAAGACTGAAAATCAAAGGGAACACACGAACAGTCTTGTATGCTTACTGGTTACCACCCTGCTCAACTTGTGAGTGGAAGTGGGGAAAATACAGCAATGAATATATGGGCTGAGTTTGGCCATGTTTTGTAGATACCCGATGACCTTGAGATGAGAGAAAAGAGGACGGGCTGGCCAGTTTGAAGTTCAGGGAGATGCGTGAACGCCCAAGTCCAAGGACACTGACCTAGCCATTAAGGGCTTGAGTTAAGAGTGAAGAGGCCAGCTGAACTGAAGTAGGGGGAGCCAGGTGAGAATTCCCAAACTTTCAGATTTGTTGCTGGTGGTGGTGTTATGTGCCACGGAGTTGGTTCTGACTCATAGCAACCCTGTATGGGGTTTGCGAGGCTGTAAATCTTTACTACGGGAAAAGAGAGCCTCATCGTTCTCCCGCAGAACAGCTGGTAGGTTCGAACTGCTGACCATGAGAAAATTTGCAGATAGTACCCAATTAACCTAGGTTGATGACTTGCTGACTGAAACTCAATCAGATGACGATAAAGAAGTATGATACAGGGAGCAAGCATAAATTGCTACAGCTTGATAAACTGGATGAAGTGGGCCAAACATTCCAACCGAAAGGGAAGGATTCTTCACATCGAGGGACTACTAGTAGAGGCTCTAGATGCATCACACGCTCTGGGAAACTGCGGGTCTGGGTGTCTCAGGGAGCGGAACCAAAATCCCAACCCCAATATTACTCCAGACCCCAAGTGTTCAATTTCTCTATTTTACTGATGCTGAAGAATTGGATCCACTATAAATGGGGTTGTGGTGTTGTGTGCCATGGAGTGGGTTCTGACTCATAGCAACTCTGTATAGGGTTCCGAGAGTGACTGGTGAGTTGGACCTTGCAGTTGGTTGGCCAGTAGTTATCCTACAATGCCACACCAAGGTTCCTAGTCAACATTGTTCAGTGCCATCAAGTCGATGCCAACTCATAGCAACCCTGTATAGGGTTTCCAAGAAGCAGGTGGTGAGTTTGAACCGATACCTTCTGTTCAAACCAACCTTGTGGTCCAGTGCTTATCCTGTAGTGCCACACCAGGACTTAGAAAATAAATTCCATGTTTTCCATGAAACCATGAACATTATCAGTTTTTCAATATGTGAAATGGGAATTCTAATGGTGCCTCTGGTATGACTTTTTAAAATCTTTTATTGTGAATTGAGTGTTTTACAGAGAAGATTATCAATTTTACATTCAATAAACCATATACTTTGTTTCATTACAATGATTGCAATCCCCTCCGTGTACCATCGGTTACGTGCATTTACCTCCATTCTCTTTAACCCTTGAGTTCCTCACTGTGTCTTCTTCTACTACTTTCATCTTCCTGTGCCAACCTCCCCCTCTTGTTGTATCTTGCCCTCCCCATTACCCAAGTTAACATGTGTGGTACTGCAGGATAATGCGCTGGACTGCAATGCCAGTTTGAACCACAAGGTCGACAGTTCACACCCACCCGCTGCTTCCCTCCCATCCCTGGTAACCATCATAGTATGTTTCTTTTATCAAGAAAACCTCTTATTCACTTTTTACAACAGTGGTCTCATTCAATATTTGTCCCTTTGCAATTGACTAATTTCACTCGGAATAACGTCTTCCGGGTTCATGCATGTTCTTAGGTGTTTCACAGATTCATCATTATTTTTCAGTGTTGCTGAAAGTTTGCTTTGCACAAAGTTTGTTGCACAAAGTTCCATTATGTATATGGACCAAAGTTTGTTTAGGAACCCTGGTCGCTTAGTGGTTTATGAGTTAGGCCGTTGTTGTTGTTAGCTACCATCGAGTTGGCACCGACTAGTAGCGACCGTATGCACAGCAAAACGAAACAATGTCCGATCCTGGGCCAACCTCACTACTGTTGCCACACTTGAGTCCATCAATGCTGCCACCTGGCCAATCCATCTTGTTGGGGGTCTTCCTCTTTTTCTCTGACCCTCCATCTTACCAAACATGATATCCTTCTCCAGCGACTGTTCCCTCCTGACAATATGTTCAAAGTATGAGAGACGAAGTTTGACCATGTTGGCCTCCAAGGGGCACTCTGGCTGCACTTCTTCCAAAACGGATCTATTGGTTCTTTTGGCAGCCCATGGCACTTTCAATATTCTCCTCCAACACCACAACTCAAAGGCGTCAATTCTTCTATGGTCTTATTCACTGTCCAGCTTTCACATGCATATGAGGTTATTGAAAATACCATGGCTTGGGTCAGGCGCACCTTAGTCCTCAAGCTGACATCTTTGCTCTTCAACACTTTAAAAAGGTCTTGTGCAGCAGATTTGCCTAATGCAATACGTCATTTGATTTTTGACTACTGCTTCCATGAGTGTTGATGGTGGATCCAAACAAAATGAAGTCTTTGATAACTTCAATCCTTTCTCCATTTATTATGATGTTATTTACAGATTCAGTGCTGAGGATTTGTGTCTTCTTTATGTTGAGGTGCAAGCCATACTGATGACTACAGTCTTTGATCTTCATCAGTAAGTATTTTAAGTCCTCTTCGCTTTCAGAAAGCAAAGTTGTGTCATCTGCATATTACAGGTTGTTAATGAGTCTTTCTCCAATCCTGATGCCACATTCTTCTTCATGTAATCTAGCTTCTCAGATTATTTGTTCAGCATACAGATCGAATAAGTATGGTGAAAGAGTACAACCCTGGCACACACCTTTTCTGATTTTATAACGTTTGGTGTCCCTTGTTCTGTTGGAATGACTGCCTATTAGTCGATGTACAGGTTCCTTATGCGCCTAATTAAGTGTTCTGGAATACTCACTCTCTTCAATGTTGTCCATACCTGATCATGATGGACACAGTTGAAAACCTGTGCATGAAGTGTGCCCTTTGGACATTTAAATGAATATATATTTTTCTTTTTTGTATGTGTATATCAGCTATTTTTGCTTTGTTGATTTGTGAAAAATAAAATGTAAAAGGGAAGCCAAAGAGAGGAAGCAGGAAAACCTGTTGCAGGGAGGGGATTGTAATCATTTAGATGAAACAAAACGTGTGATTGGTTGGAAGTACAGCTGATGATCTTGTCTGTTAACCGTCACTCAATTCACAATAAAAACTTAAAAAAGAAAAGAAAGCCTTTGCGTAGTCAATAAAGCACAGGTAAACGTCTTTCTGGTATTTGCTGCATTCAGCCAAGATCTATCTGAAGTCAGCGATGATATCCCTCATTCCATGTCCTCATCTGAATTCAGCTTAAACCTCTGGTAGTTCCCTGTCAACGTACTGTTACAGCCGTTTTTGAATTATCTTTAGCAAAAGTTTACTTGCATGTAATATTAATGATATTGTCCAATGATTTCTACATTCCATTGTGTCATTCTTTGGAATAGGCACAAATATGGATTTCTTCAATCAGTTGGCCAGGTGCAGTCTTCCAAATTTCTTGATGAGTGAGTGCCTCCAATGCTGCATCAGTTTGTTAAAAGATTTCAATTTGTAGTCTATCAATTCCTGGAGCCTGGTTTTTTGCGAATGCCTTTAGTGCACCTTGGACTTCTTCCTTCAGTATCGCTGGCTCTTCATCATATACTGTCTCTTGAAATGGTTGAACATCGGCCATTTCTTTTAGGTACCGTGACTGTATGTATAATTTCCATCTTCTTTTGATGTTTTCTGCATCATTCAATATTTGGGCCATAGACTCCTCCAATAGTTCAAGTCAAGGCTTGAATGTTTTTCCTCAGTTCTTTCAACTTGAGAAACGCTGAGCGTGTTCTTCCCTCTGGGTTTCTAACTCCAGGTCTTTGCACATTTCATTTTACCACTCGACTTTGACTTTTCCTCCTGCCCTTTGAAATTTTCTGTTTAGGGCGTTTCCTCCTCATTTCTTCCATTTGCTTTATCTGAAAGCAAGTTTCAGTCTCTTCTGACATGTTTTGGTCTTTTCCTTTTTCCTTGCCTTCTTACTGACTTTTTTCTTTCTTCCTGCGTGGTGTTCTTGTTGTCAATCCACAACTCTTCTGGCCTTTGGTCATTAGTGTCTAATGCATCAAATCTGCTCTGGAAATGATCTCTAAATTCAGGTTGCGATGTTGTTGTTAGGTGCCATCAAGTCTATACCGACTCATAGCTATCCTATGCACAACAGAACGAAACACTACCCGGTCCTGGGCCAACTTCACAATTGTTGCCATGCTTGAACCCATTGATGCTGCCCCTTTGCCATTCCATCTCTCTGGGGGGTCTTCCTCTTTTTCTCTGACCCTGCACCCTGCCAAACATGATATCCCTCTTCAGTGACCGGTCCCTCCTGACAATATGTCCAAAGTCTGAGAAACGAAGTCTGGCCATCTTGGCCTCCAAGGAGCGCTCTGGCTGTACTTGTTCCAACACAGATCTGTTGGTTCTTTTGGCAGCCCATGGCACTTTCAATATTCTTCTCCAATACCATAACTCAAATGCATCAATTCTTCTATGATCTTCATTATTCACTGTCCTACTTTTGCATGCAAATTCAGGAGGGATTTGTTTAAGTTC